GGGTAGGGTTTTTCAGCCGTTTTGGTCATAAATTGGGTATCGATTTTGGCTATTTTGCCGCCATTTTGGTCATAAATAGGGTAACGATTTTTGCACTGTAGTCTTGAATCCACATTTTTAGAAGAAGCTACTTCCTTATCATGTCCCCCTCCTTCCACCCGCGCTTTGCCTTCCTCTCCACCGGCTGCTTTGTAGGCTAGAAAATACAAGCAACAAAAGCCCTTCACAAATTATGTTTACGGTTTTGTGTACGTGCCGCATAAATAGGGGTATCAAATTTTTGGTTAGGTCATAAATAGGGTAGGGAAAATCGCAGATTTTGGTCATAAATAGGGTAAGGGTTTTGGGAAGCGGGCGCACACCCCTACCCAATTTTTCTGCGAGTACCCCCCCCCCCGGGGGGTAAAACGTGGGTTAAGTTTGCCGTGGTAATCAAACTTTACGAATAATTTAGTTGAAATTTCAACTGGTATGTTAGTCCTGATAATTTAGTAAAGGTATATAGCGGTTTTTTTTTTCACATTGACCTTTATAGATTCCATTTTACAGTTCAGCTGCATCCCCGCACTGTTCGATTACATGCCAGGAATAGCACATATTTTTTGGGGAAATATCTTTCCTAAATTGCTTTAACATTTCCGTGTAATTTTCCCCTTTTTTAAAAGGTGAAAGTAAAAAGTTAAAACGTTAATTCTGCCATGTCACTGACATCGATCATTCTCTCAACAGCGCGAAAGAAAGCCGAAAAAAAGCAACATTTTTGAGGTTTCATGTTGGTGTCAAATATTAAAAGAAACCTGATTGGCTCTCTTGCCTTGGTATCGAAAAAACCAGCTATTCACCAAGTCAAATGTCAGGGGCGGTTTCTTCTTCCTTTCGACGTACTATGGATATTTTCCATGGCAAATTTATCTCGGGGATGTCCGGTCACACACACCACCAGACTCGTACCCAGTCGTTATTTATGTGGTTTCGGGATGAGAGAAGATTGGAGGTTAGGTTGAGGCGCGCGGGTAGCGCGGGCTTTTAACGCGGGCTAACCTTAAGGGCTAACCCTAGCTATTTTTCCTTCGTCCCTTCCCATGACACCCCGCGCGCGCCTCAACCTAACCCCCAATCTTCTCTCACCCCGAAAACACATAGCGACTGGGTACGAGTCTAACACACCACGCGGTCAAGACTTTTAAAGACGGGTTGACGAGAGTGGGGGGAGGGAAGAGCGGATGGTGAGAGTTCTTAATGTACCTAGATCTCCCTCGGATACGAGATTAGGGAGTTCTAAAAGGGCAGGTAACGGGATAAGATGGGAGAAATTACGCAGCAATGCGGAAATATCTCGCAATCGACAAACAAGTCAAGAAAAAAGGGGCAGGAGTAGGGAATGCAAGGTCCGGGGGGGACAGGTCGTTTGGATCTCCCCTGCAGTAGGTAGTTAGTCTCTGACACCAAGACCCTTTTTTACGGAACCTTCAGGGCCCAATTGTTCGAAGGCCGATTAATCCTAACCCAGAGTTAAATTTTAACCTGGGTTTTTTTTCTTTTATTCAAAAGCATTTCAGCCCGGATAACTCTTCTTTTTAGAGCATCCAATCATCAAATTGTGGGGAAAAGGTATAAAATTGAATTTGCTTTTTAAGCTTTCCTATCTCAAATCAAATTTCGCACTGACCCTGGGTTAACTTAACAATGCTTTGAACTGACCCGGNCTAGCTATTTTTCCTTCGTCCCTTCCCATGACACCCCGCGCGCGCCTCAACCTAACCCCCAATCTTCTCTCACCCCGAAAACACATAGCGACTGGGTACGAGTCTAACACACCACGCGGTCAAGACTTTTAAAGACGGGTTGACGAGAGTGGGGGGAGGGAAGAGCGGATGGTGAGAGTTCTTAATGTACCTAGATCTCCCTCGGATACGAGATTAGGGAGTTCTAAAAGGGCAGGTAACGGGATAAGATGGGAGAAATTACGCAGCAATGCGGAAATATCTCGCAATCGACAAACAAGTCAAGAAAAAAGGGGCAGGAGTAGGGAATGCAAGGTCCGGGGGGGACAGGTCGTTTGGATCTCCCCTGCAGTAGGTAGTTAGTCTCTGACACCAAGACCCTTTTTTACGGAACCTTCAGGGCCCAATTGTTCGAAGGCCGATTAATCCTAACCCAGAGTTAAATTTTAACCTGGGTTTTTTTTCTTTTATTCAAAAGCATTTCAGCCCGGATAACTCTTCTTTTTAGAGCATCCAATCATCAAATTGTGGGGAAAAGGTATAAAATTGAATTTGCTTTTTAAGCTTTCCTATCTCAAATCAAATTTCGCACTGACCCTGGGTTAACTTAACAATGCTTTGAACTGACCCGGCCCTGTATAGGAACTGCAAGAAGCAGACGATTGAGATCCGACCAAAAGGAGTACTTATAGAACGGGTTGAAGGTTACTTTCTATGTATTAAGTAGGTGACTAGGTGAAATGTTATGAAATTATTTTTTAACCTTGATGGGTTAGCAATATAATATATACTGAATTAAGTGCTTCATTTATAGGGTTGAAATAAGACTGATGCAGCATTCTGGCTCATTGTAGTTTGTGTTTTCTGTGTCAGAGGACCATAGACTGACTCTATTACAAGAGTCATGAGTCAACCGAAGTTCTTCCGCGTCGACAAAATGAGAGCGCTGCTCTAAAGGAACTGAGGATGACCACGCGGTTACTATTCGCCGTTTGAAGAGTGTTTTATCTTCAAGCAAACTTGGCAAGTACCATTTATTTCAGTCGAATTATGTTGTAACTTGTTGTCATCGGATACATTTATAAAAGTATGCCGACCATTTCTGCCGCTTTCCCCTCGCTTCGACTTCGCTTTTTGCCGTAAATGTGATTACTAGCCCCTCTGATTTCAGCTCAAGCAATCACGATCACTCCAGGAGCAATCCGAACATTTGTGTTTGACCCGAGAACGAACCTCTTTAAGGAGGAAAAAATCTTCAAATATTCCGTACGAAAGGTGCGATTCATGATTCCGTATATGATGGGATTGAGAGCTGTACTAGCGAAGCCAAAACAGGTGTAGCTTACATAGACTGGTCGCTTGAGCTTCCAATCTCCGGTTATAAAATCGACCAAATCAATGACTAAGACGGGAGTCCAGCAGCTTAAAAAAGCTACCACCACAACTAGCAGGATGTTCGTCACTTTAACCTCCTCGACAGACAATCTCGGATTTTCGGGACCAAAGTTTAATTGTCGGTTTAAAGGACGAATTCTTTGCCGAAAAACTACAAGATTATGTCGGCGGACCGCGATGAAAACTCTTGTATAACAGATTGTAATGATGATTAAGGGAATAGCTATATAAACGAGAACCAAGTAAACTCCGTAGCCTTCATGCAACGATTCCGCATCATATGTGCAAAAGGCTTTTCCAGAGTGGAAGAAAAAGTCGTGCCCTGCAACAACATACGGAAGAGGCGCAAAGAGAGCTATGATCCACAGAATTGCGATTGTCACCTTTGTTGTCTTCATGTTGAAAATTTTTTGATACAACACGCGGGAACGAACAACTCGGAAATATCTGTTCAAAGCGGTGACGGCTAAAGTCTGCAAAGACACGGCGCACAACAGAAGAATCCAGAGTCCTTGTAGCTGACAAATAAAGTTGTTAAACGGCCATTTTCCTGTCATAAGAGAAGCTACTGAAAAGGGAGTTCCCATTAATGAAAATAGGAAGTCGGAAACAGCCAAAGTTATAATGTACATGTTAGGAACAGTTCTTCGAAGATTCGGGTTTTTGATGACCGCGATTCCATGCAAAAGATTTCCAGCAAATGAGACGAAGTTGATCAAAAACAAAAACCCAGATTCAATTGCTCGAGTAGCGTTGGAGCGGTATTTAAGCTCCCATGCAAAGTTTTCAATCGATGTCAAAGTTTGACTTAACATAGAGCCACTATAATTTGAAGTCTGAATTTGACATACCCCGGACATAACTTTCAATTTACACTACCGAGGCGAGTCTTTGGAAAAACTTGGAATTTTGTAATTATTCCCGATCAATTGCCCTGCTCCGCAAATGACCTTAGCCACGATTCACGGCTAGACTTTCTACCTCAGGTTGATGTTCTGCTGAAAAACAAAGGCAAGGTCCTTTATTACATACAAAAAATGTATATATTAAGAATGACATCCGATGATGTTTGCATTTTGATTTTAATTTTTAGGCAACAGGATGTTTAAGTTTCTGTGGGACAATTTTATCAGTTAATAACTATCAATTTAGACGCGTATCTATACCATTAGCAATCACTCTGAAGAGGGGTATTTTGAAGATTTTGTCAGTAGTTTGAGTAATTGGCACTTTCTCATCCGTTTCAATTCTTCCCCAATACCTTTTTCGTCCTTTCTAGCACAGGAAACTGCAAACTAAAGGCGTACCTTAAATATCTGACAAAATTCACTTTGGGCAAATTTGAGCCGTTGTTTCTCAGCTGATCTCAGGGACTCAAATGACGATGAAGATGATGATGATGAAGATACTGACAGACTAAAATAAAAACCAGCTTTCAGCCCGAGCATAAATCACCATTACTCATTGATTGGGCCCATCGCCCATAGGCATAATGATACCACAGGGAAATAAAATCACAGAATCCGGCTGCTGGTGAAAACGTAAGCTATTGTCTTGCGGGATGCAGCTGCGAGGTTCACTTAGGTTTTTAGCGAATACTTTCAGTTTTCAGTAAAATCAACCGTCATATTTACTTTCTGACTCGATTTCCGGCGTCATTTCATTTTAATCTCTTTTTTACTGCTTGTCAATTACAGAATTTGTCTTCAACTATAGTAAGAAAGGACAGATCGACTTCCTTATGTATTTTTTAAAAAGTGGACATCAATGGTTAATATAAAAGTTAATTTCTTCAAAATCGTGACGGAGTTCGAGACAGACTACGTCACACTGTACCAGTAATTCTTCCTACCAACGTAAACATATTAACAATGATATTTATTTTATTAAAAATTACTGAATTTATCCTGGAGAAATAAGTTACTTTCTTGAATGATATTATTTTGTCTTCCCTTCAATAGTATCACCACTGGTCTGATGATTGCGATGAACGTTCATTTCAAAATTTAGACTCGGATAGAAATTGATTAAAAAGGGCCATAACGTAAAAACTGCATGTGTTGTGTGCTATTGTATCCCTGGGTATCGTTCCCACCCCCTTCCCCCTCCCCCTCCCCCCTCCTCCCACAAATAACTTAAGCAGCATGAGAGGCCCGTGGGCGAGGCTCGTTAGAAAATGATTCCATATAAATTATTTTAATTATTTTTTAATAAAATCTGATTTATTATAATTAAAATTATTTTAGTATTCTTACAACAATGATAAGAAGAGCATATTTATACAGGATAACTGTGTCTGTTTTAGAAAAAATTGTCATCGATGTAGATGTCCTGCTGTTCAAAGGATAAAAAGACTAACAATAATGCTTTCAAAAAAGTTAAAAGAAAAATGCTGAAATTGCTACATCATGACCAAGATTAGTTAATATTAAAAACCGAGCTCCTTTGCAAAAGAAAGATTGCTATGTACACTTAAGATTCACTTTTTCCAGAACAATATTATTTTATACCTCCTCCTCATCATCATCATCATCATCATCATCTTTATTTAAAAAACACGGTAAATACATCAGGCGTTAACAATTCAATATAAAGCTACAACTTAATACGAAACTATGTATACAGATTAATCTTCTGTAATTTGAAATATTGCTAACTATTAAAGAAAAGTAAACTAAATTAAAGCCTGTTTTACATGAATGCCGTGTCGGAATTAATTAAGAATCGTCGGAAATTAGTCAGAGATGTTGCTTGCCTAACAGTTGAGGGTAGACTCTTCCAGAGGACTGCACCACTAAAGGCAAAGCTATTTTTGCAATGGTTAGTACGTGGCAATGGTATTGCAAGCTTATTATCAGAATCACGCAAATTGTAAGAAGTAACCACATTACTCCGCTGAATGAATTTCGAGGACAAATAATTCGGTGCGAGGCCGTTGTGTTGTAGCCCGAAAATTTAAGTTGCGTAGTTCAAAGTAATTCTGGAGATAACTAGGCATACCGTTTTTGATGCATAGTTTTTTTTAACAAGGAAAACGACGTGGGCTTCTCTACGCTTGGTCAAAGGCTCCCAACTTAAATTGGTAATGATTTCAACGATAGACAGCTCCTCCGCGGTAGAGGAATAACGGTTAATTATGGCTTGTCAGTGCTACTGGCGTTTGGTACACGATAGATTGCCCAGATCGTGGTACCATCCGTTACGGTATAGGGAGCAGGGCCGTTGGATTTACTAAGTAAGCTTACCCCAATGACGGCAGAAAGAAGAGAACGGCAACGTTTGGGTGTGACAAACGCGATAGGGCTATTACTTGCGTGTTTTGTCGTGATATAATTACTTAACATTACCGTGTTCTGGTCTTTGGAAAAAAAGATCTGTTTGAAGGAAGGTAAAGTTTAGGGAATATTTTTCAAACACTGAATTTTTGTTAGAGTGTTACACAAGGTTTTCCGTTTTCTTTCCTCTACTGTCCTAATATAATGTGTAAGTTCACTAGTGAGGAGGGGGATGGAGGAGGCTTATCAAAGGCTTCAAACCAACCAAAAATGAGAGACTCTTTTTGGGAAGTACCAGCCAGCCGTTTCAACAGGATGAAGCAGTGCATATACTTCTTTCGAAAAGGAACTTCCTGCACCACTGTGAATATTGCGATCAAGAATAATATTAGTCTACTATATTGCGCTTTGGTTTGCTAATTTTTCCTCAGACTAGACTGGAGTTATTAATAGATGATAATACAGGAAGGTCTGATATACTTTTCGATTCTCACGCTCGACCTGATTAAAATAAGTAAAGGCAGTCTTTCTCTAAAGTTGAGTTGTGTTGTTATTTTTAGGACCATTATCTGCTCGCACTGGCTCATTTCCATAGTCCGAATTTGTTGGCTTTTTACTAAAATTCCAACTTTTAAAAACCGCCAAAATCTTCAAGTATTCCGAGCGGAAGGTTCGATTCATGACTCCGTATATGATGGGGTTGAGTGAAGTGCTGCCCAAGCCGAGACAGGTGTAGCTCACATAGACTGGTCGCTTGAGCTTCCAATCTCCGTTTACAAAATCGATCATATCAATGACTAAAACAGGTGCCCAGCAGGTTAGAAAACCTATGACAACAACCAGCAGAATATATGTGACATTTACTTCTTCAACCGAAAGGCAGCTGTTGTTCGAGGAGTTCCTGCCGCTCTTGCCATTAAAGCGAATTCGGGGGCGAAAGTTTAAGTTGTGTTTCCGCACTGCGATGAAAACTCTTGTATAACAAGTTAAAATGATAATTAAAGGAATGGCTATATAAACGAGAACCAAATAAGCTCCGTAGCCTTCATGCAACGATTCCGCGTTATGAGTGCAAAAGACTTTTCCAGTGTGAAAGAAAAACTCGTGGCCAGCAACAACATACGGAAGAGGCGAAAAGAGAGCCATGATCCACAGAATTGCAATTGTTATTTTTGTTGTCTTCATATTGAAAATTTTCTGATACAACCAGCGGGAACGAACAACTCGGAAATATCTGTTCACAGCGGTGACGGCTAGAGTCTGCAAAGACACAGCGCACATGAAAAGGATCCAGAATCCTTGAAACTGGCAAGTGAAATTATTGAACGGCCATTTTCCTG